CCCTATCTGCCTGCAAGATCCCAGGTGAAAGAGTAGAATTACACTTGTTCAACAAGAAAGAGGTAAATAGCTTTCCAACTTCTCCAAAAGACAGAGTGATTTATTTGGAAATTAATTTTACTAATCAAACAAAATTAGTAGGAAGAATTTACTACAGACTTCAAAAGGTTCTTAAGTAAGTAATATCTGAGCAGAATGATCAGCACATAGTTAATTTGGGGTTTTTGTGAATTCAAGAAAACCTGAAGATTAAAAATAAAGCTGAGATTGAAATACAGATGAAGGCAGAACTTAAACTATAAAATAACTATTTTAAAAACAGTAATTTCAACTGTGTGAAAAAAATAAAGAACAAATCTTATTGTATCTCATAATATGAAATATTTTTCTTAATATCACAAAGCACAGAGTCAACTTCCTACAAGAAAGCACCATAGATACAGTCGGTAATAATCTGATAAAAAAAGACCAGGTCTACTGATAGTCTGTGGAGTTTTTGAGAGACTTTTGGGCTAATGCACCTTAAGTCTGGCTTCTTATCTGTCTCCTATGGATAAGCACTGGACAGAGTTTTGAACTCTGAGGCTTTGTAACAAAACCTCTGCACAATCTTTAAACTGCGAAGGAAGTAATCTGAGGGCTCTGAAGATTTTTTAAATATTAGAATAACTTCAAATACTATAAAAATTGAAGTGTGTAACGATAGTACAATGATTCCAGTGCCAGCATTTCCCAGTGTCCACCGCTGGCTATGTAATTCTTGCCAGAAAATCCCAGCTCTGTGCCAGACAGTTTAGTTCAACTACTGTTCTGACAGAAGTATAATAATAGCTACTATGAATTTTGTTTTGACTACAAGTTATGTTAAAGCAGCTGCCTATAGTCTCAAAGCAGTGGATAGCATCTGTGAAAGTATTTAATAGCACAGCAAGATTCCAAGTTACAGCAGTTTTATTCTTCAGCAGAGTATGACAAGGTGAGAATTGATCTTGCAAGCCTCAGTGCAGGTGTGAAAAAATGAGATGCCAGCAAGATGCATCCTAACAGTATTTCCTTGTAGACTTCGAAGGATTTAGCTCTGTATAAGGAATAAACATGTCTAAAAAGCAACTTCACGAAGTCTAACACCTATATATTTTGAGTTTAAAAACCGGAATGTCAGATACTTTTACCCAATAGACAGCAATTTTACCAACAGAATCCCTATATCGTTCCCTCAGCATTCAGATAATTTACCTGATTTTTTGTTGAGAAAGTAAGACATAATTCATAGTATGAAATTATATGAAGGTGCATCCACCTTACTCTTTATGAGTATCTTCCTTAACAGAAAGATTGTCACCTTCTACTCAGTGCAAAGGACTAAATATAGAGGAAATCAGAACAGATCTGTTCCAACTTGAATAGCCCTCAGCCTGGTGCAGAAGACAGTCCTACTCTGAAGTCATAAAAGGGACTGTTCTACTGCACACTGCCAGCCTGCCGCTTCTGGATAATTTCATGACGTAAAAAATCATGAATTAAGAACAGTATTGGATTCTCCAACAAAGACCGCAAGGACTGAAACTGTAAGATCCACTGCACAAAATCCAGTACCCTGAACTGAGTGCCTGACAACAACCTTGCCAGCGAGTCAGACTGTGATGACTGGAAACTCTGAGGGATGAAAATCCCCTTATTTCAGAGGTTTGGGTCAGTGGCAACAGAACACCTGGTAGTTTTGGGAAGCGCATTCTAGAGACTGCTGTTGCTCAACAGCTTGCTTGACAATCTGGAGAAAAGCAGACAGGCAGCACAGACAATGAGGACATTTGCAGGTGACACCAGATGGGGAGAAGAGAGCACAGCAGCTAACACGATGAACAGCAGACTGCCAAGTCGTGGACGATGGGGCCAACAGAAACTGACAAGGTTCACTGGGGTCAACTGCAACTTCTTTGCTCTGGCCACAGAATTATAATTACCTAAGTTCTCTGAGGACCAACCCTACCCATCCCCAAGTTAAGACTTACGGTCACTAGCGTGTTGAGTACAAGACAACTGTGTATTCCTGAAGGTTTACGTGGGTCAGCTAGCACAGAATCACCAAACTGCCTAGATTGGAAGAGACCCTTAAGACCACCAATTTCAGTCATTAGAGCATCAAGTCAAACCAACACAGTCAGGTCTGACTGCTCTTGGTGATTGTCCTCCTTTGAACAGCAGGTTGGATTAGATGACGTCCAGCAGTCCTTCCAACATTTCTGTCACAGTAAAGTTACTTCAGGAAGGCCAGAGAAGGGTGGATGAACACAAAGCCCAGAGATATGAGTATTAAAAACTGATGACCCGAGATTCACAGGTGAATTTAGGACAGGGTCTAAGAAGTCTTGTCATACAGAAAAGAAACTTCAAATGACAGCAGAATACACAGTGTTTGATCACAAAATTAAGCGGGAGAAAGCATAAGCCAGACACACTTTATTTGAAGTTAAGGATATTATTAATTTTTCAGCACCCCTACTATTTCGTTGCATTTCAACAACATAATAAAGAATCGTGAATAATTTTAATTCCCTGGAAGCAATGTTTAATACAGCATCTCTAGTAAGCTGGAAATGAGCCAGACCTATTATTAGACAACTCCTGGAAAACAATATTCTGTCATCACCACTTTTATGATTACATAAAACTTTCCTGAGCAGTCTGAAGATTAATTTAAACCTAGCCCCTGCAGGGAAATCTTCTAGTATCAAAAGACAGCATGATAGATTTAAAAGAAAAATATTTCACTTCCAGTTAATTTTACCAAAGTTTTGAAAGATATAGAGCCAAGCTAACAGATGGAAATTTTGATTATACAACTGTAATTGTAAAGAGAACTGATGAAGGATTAATATTCCTTTAAAATCATGCATAGCTTCTAAATTGTCATTGATAGATTCTTAATGTGATGAACTAGTCACAGCTCAGTAAATTACAGACCTAGGAAATCAACACAAAATTCAGTATATGAAGGTGTTTCCAACTGGACATAGTAATTTGAGAACTTAATTTGGTAAATCTGCTTTTCCTTTGAGTTCTGGACACTGGGTTAGGTTACCTGACAAATACTGGCTGTAACTAATCATGCAGTATAAAAGAACTGTTTTGATAATGGAGTCTTACAGGTTTTGAAAATAAAAGTTCTGTGAGCACTGTTCATAAAGAATATCCCGTCTTACTTACAAAAAAATATATGCATCAACTCTCTAACAATGGTTTTTTGGTGTTATTATTTTTGTAACTATGTAACAAAATATGACATTTTCTGTATTCTTCTTAAACAAAGCTGCCAGATTTGGGTTATGATTTGCAGAATACTTTGTACTAAACTAAATGAGCTGCTACATCCTGCACAAGTCAAATTTTTGATCTCAGGAAAAGCAAATTCGAATACGGAAATTTATATGCCTAAATATGAAACCTATATACTTGTTATTCTGTAGCATTTCTGACCAAGTTGTTATTCTGTAGCATTTTCCATAAAACACAAAATATGCTGCCTCGCTCTTTCCATTGGCACTTTGTTCAGAAACTCGGTGAGTTCCGAAGTTAGTTGTTTTTTTTTTTAATCATTCCAGGTATAGATAAATCTCTAAAAAAACCATATTTACGGAGGAGACTAGGGTAGCTAAAAAGTACAGGATGTACTATACATTTGTTTGTTTGTCATTCTAAGGCCTTTCATAAAGGAAAGGTGAAATGTGAAAATTGACAGCAGAAGCAGTCACAGCTATCACAGTGTCCAGTCCTGCCTCCAATACAGTTGACCCAGCAAGGGTCTGTAACTGAAGGCAGAAGATTAGACAGAGTCACCTGTCCTGCCCACTCCTCCCTGCAGGTGCCACCTTTCACTTCCTCGTGACCTTTTCCCTCCCTGGCACCCCAAGATGTTACATGAGACCCAGGGTGGCCTCAGTCACCCCAGGAGCAGGCACCAGCCAGAGCCTTTGGGCACCCCAGCCTTGGCAGTGACTGTCACCACCAGCATCACCCCTGCCAGCAGCAGCACTGCCTGCACACACACGCTGTCACCTGGGCTATAAAATAAAATCACTGAGCAGAATTGGGTCTGCTTAGCCCAGACCAAGACAAATATTCTTGTTTAGAACAACAAAATAAACCATAGGTGAACAGGCTTTGGCTTTTTGTGTTTTGTGTTTTGTTTTGTTTTGTTTTTTAAACTTGTGATCTCACTTTGTACTGCCTCTTACACCAAATTTACAGCAGAATTTTTAGCAGGAAAAAGCAATGAAAGGCTCAGACTCAATATCAGTGCAAGTAATAAGTCCTTTGGTTTACAGCTGTGGCTTGTCAAGACATAATTTTATAAAGATGGGCATTCTATACTCCTTTTCTTTTAAACTATATTTATTATTTGTTGAAGCATACTGGTTATATAACCAGATGATAATTTCAGTAAATTATCTTCAAATTACAGTACTTCTAGAATTATTATGGGATGACAGAAGAACCTGGAAGCTGAAGGTAGATAAATCTGAACTACTAAGAAAATGACATTTTTTCAATTGTATGAGTGACTGAGTCTTTGAAAACGTCACTAAAGTCCTTGGTACCATAGAGGTAAATGGGTTTAGACCAATAAGAATGTGTTTCTAATAAAATCTGTCCTAGATGAACAGTGAATTGCAAGTTTGGGACAGCAATTACCAATTAAATTCTACTGTTTTTGTTACAGAGGAAATCAAACCAGACATTCATCATGGTCTATGTCATCATCAGACAAAAATGTGCAGTATAGGAGTTTGATCCAAAGCTAATGAAATTCCAGCAAATATAATTTGGTTTTAGGTAAGACCATAAAGGTAAGTTCAAGACCAAACAGAAATAGTCAAAGGTTATCAAAATGTGCAACACTTTGCATTGCCTTTGTATTTCAACACAATTATTCACCTTTTAAATCTATCCAGGTAAGATCAAGAACCAATTTTGTCTCAAACTGAATGATTCTTTCATACTCACTCATATAAATTCTTCAGTGGTGAAGTCAAAATAGCCACTACAGAGAGCAGGCTGTTACAGTGGCTATGTATTTTATAGATCTTTAGATTTCTGTCCTCATGTGGATTCAGGAACTCTTGTACAGAGCTGCAAACTGACCAGAGCAGATCTTCAGTGGACATCAATATTGCTGCAATATCAATACTGTAGTGGAAAAAGAAAGTGAAAATAACATTACTTAGGACATCAGGATAGTGGTAAATTTCAGTCAGATAGAGGTTTCCTATAACAACATAAAACATCTATATCATAGCATAGAATTCAAATTTAATCTTCTGTCAATAGTTTAGGAATTCTGAACTCATTACATTGTAGAAATTCAGTGCTTTCACCAAAAAGTAGTTACCAAAACTTATCAAAAGACTTAAAAAAATGAAATTTCCTCTTCCAAAGGACAATGTCACTAGACAAGGACATCTTACCTTCTAAATTATAACTAAATAAAATTAAATTCAGTTTTCCTTATGATAAAGTACAATTAGAATGTACATACTATTTTGAAATACTGCTGTGGTAGAAAAGTAATGACCAGTGGACTAAATCTTCAATTTGCAAAACTTTAACTGCCAAGGAACATATTATGCTGTGATCAGTGATCGATTCTCTGTTGACATTGGCTGGCAGAGCACCAGGGCGTCATTGGCCTAAATCACAGCAAGAACTCAAACTGCAACAACATAACCTCCCAACACTAAGCTAACATGCAACAGACAGGAAACAGGTGGATAACACAAAATACATGGCAGGCATGAAGATTGACTGAAAAAAAAGTATGTAAATGTCTAAAAGCCAATGGATGCATATGTTATCATCTGTATTTTCGAGTATTAAGTTATTGTTTGGAAAATCAAGGCAAACGCACATGAACAGACATTTTTCCATACTGCATATACTGATCTCTAATATTTCCAGGACCGTTGGGAGAAAAGACACCCTCCCAAATTACCATATTATGAAGAAAGTGTGTATCAAATCATATTCTTCATATTTCAGGGTATTTTCTTTTCCAGGAATTTTTCAGGAAATCTCTCTGTACCTAAAGATATACAGACGGGCCCAACCATGGTAAACCACTTCAGGAATAGAACACACAAAATAAGTATTTTGATACCTAGAATAAAATAAGTGTTTTCCCACTTATTTCAAGAATATGAATTTGTGCAGGTTACTTAAGATTCCATGACTCTGCACGTTTTCATAATGAAACTGATGATGAGAGCATATAACTCTTAGCTCACACAGAACATATCCATGCTGAGCGTCTCCCACCTGCTACAAATAACACACTCCTAAGTTTTTAACTTGAGTGGCCACCAGAGAATCGTAGAATTGTTTATGTTGGAAAAGACCTTTAAGGTCATCAAACAAGACATTGGATAGAAAGAGGAACACCAGTGTTACGGTAAGCTTCTACCTGGAGACATCAGATAGACAATTTCTTAAAGAATTTATCCCCTCTGGCAAAATGTTAAGAATCCCAACAAGAACTTTCAGGCGTATATTTCTTAAAATGCAGGAGAAGGAATAGCATCTTTCTTCTTTCTCCTTCTGCACCACTGGGTTGATTCTGGCAAATCTTCTGGGGTGACCTTGTAGCTCTCTCATTTTAAAAGCCCTAAGAAAACCTGAATTCTGTTGGAACACATTGAGTTTTCTTCATGAATGAATGGCTTGATTTCTAATCTTGATGCTGCCAATTCTGCCGAAATTTTTCGTTGTGTCATCACTCCTCAATGCAATGTCCACCATGAGGCTTTCAAACCAATCAAGTAGTTTATGGAACAATTACACCAAGAGTTCAAAAGACGACTTTGATTCTGCGCATGTACTTAAATATACAACATATATTGAATTAAAATTGACATAAGAATACATAAACTGTGTCTGTCCCCTCTTCCTTGTTCCTTAATATGTAATTTTGAATGAAAGCAGGGCGTAAGAGAAAACTAAGATTTAATTATTTTATCCATTAAAATCGTGCATTAATTATATAAACATTACCTGATCTGTGGTGTTCTCTTGTAACTGGGGCAGGCCTGACAATATCTGGAGGACAGCACAGCCAAAAATTGCTCTAGAACATCTGTAAGGATCTCCTGGGCTGTCTTTGGTGGGAGAATAGTCCATAGATCATGATGAAGACCACAGCAGAAGTAATGCCACATCTGGACTGAGAATGAGCATCTTTCCCCCTAGCAAAACCATCGCACATTAAATAACATAAACACACCTCCAAAATGTCAATTTAGTTCCTGCATGCTTAATTAATACACTCTGAAAGGAAATAACTGAAGAGTTTCAAGCAGATGATAACCAAAATACGGTCCTTGACAAGATGTGAAACATCTTTATGAGGAAGGAAACACATGTTTCGTTTCATTTACAAATCTAGAGTTCTGCCACAAAACCAAACCACAGCATTTGGCCTCTTATATTAATTAACTTATTTTCAAACCCCGTAGCATTACAAGTCTGTTTTTAAAACATACAAAGTATTCTGCACTCACTAGAATAGTTAGACAAATTTAACATAAAAGTTTCTTTGTCCTCAAAAGAAAATAATTATTTAAATTACTTCAGCGTACGTATTCCCCCAGATTTGTAATTGTCACATATAACTGTGATTATGAAATTCTGGTTATGTATAGTGGATATATAATAACAGAAAAAACACCAAACAGCTGGGAAAATTAATAGCAAGAGATGTCCAGAATTTTGTTCATCTTACAATGATAACTTTTTGAAACAAAACAATTTCTATGAAGGAATCATAGAAATACTAATATTTTATTGCATATACAGAACCACTCCAGTAAGACACAAATACAGAGCTGTCAAAATAACAGTAGTGAATCCATAATGTCTCTGAGAAGTACATAGTCAACTCACATTTAAATGTTTCAACTAATAACTGTTAAGAAAATAGCATTATGATGAAGTATCTGAAGAAAGACTTGAATCTTCAATGCCCACATTCAAATGGAGTTGAGAACTATTTAAAGAATTGTCCTGGGTTTGAGCTAAAACCCAGTCCTGTTTAGTGATTTTTACTTTCCAGTTTGGTCTCTTTTTAGAGGCTGCACTTTCTGAAGTCAGCAGCATGTTTTTGCAGACAGTGTGTGCTACCAGCAGTGATAACACCTGGTGTTTGCAGTCACTGCCTGGGACTGGGATGCAGACAGGCTCTTGTTTATACTTGCCCCTGTAGTGGCCAAGGCCACTTCTGGCTCTTGTGTGCCACGCTGGGGGTGCCGGTTAGTAAAGGGGGGTCACAAAGAAGTAAAAGGTTGCACCTCCGGGGGGTAAGAGACAGGACAGGTGATCAGCGAGAGTATTCCCTCCCATATATGTCATATTTAGTACAAATTGAGTGATCACGAGAGTTTCTGCCTCTTCTGCAATGGCCGGTGTCCAGGGATGACTCCATCTGACCTCCTGCTTTTGATCCAGATCCTGAGTTCCCGAATCCAGCTCCCGCCGCCGCTGAGCCTGGGGCTGCCCCAGTGCCTCCTGCTCTACAGCATCAGTGGTGATTGATATCAGGGGAGGGAGTCGGGGTTGATATCGGGCTATTATCTATAGTTGTATATAGTTCTTTACTTTTATCATTCCACTATTATTTTCTATTATTATTGTTTCATTAAAGCTGTTGTAGTTTTTTTTCTTCTCTGACCCGAAAGTCTCTCTGCCTCATTCCTTTTTCCTTCCCATTTTGGGGGGGGAAGAAGGGGTTAGAGAGCGTCTGTCCGTGTTAGAAGCCAGCCCAGCCCTAACCCACGACAAGAATTTGTTGATATTTCAGCATTATCAGAAATACAAGACAACCCTATGATTTTTAGAACACTTTAAGAGTTGGATAGGCATTCTCTAATATTAATAAGCAAAAATAAACTGCCTTCTTTTTAAACATACCACATTAGGAGATTACTGGAAGTTGTCATTATTCTGTATTTCTCTGCTATGACATATGAGCTGTATGGTAAATTACGACAAAGAAAAAAAATTATGAAACTTCTGACCACTGCTCTAGCCATTAAACTTATGACTGGCCCAGGCATCTCTAAAATCTCATTTAGAAAAAAAAAAAAAAGAAAACCAAATCATTAAGATGTCAAATTTTCCAAATTTCACTGACGTAGAAAAGAAAAATGTAACAGAGGTAAGTTCTGAAGGAAAACTATATGTCAATTTTCTTTGTACATAACCATGGACATCTTGTAACTTTTTAAAGCACATTTCAACAAGGAAACTAAAAACATTCACTCTGGTATTTTGAACAATCAAGCACTTGACAAAGTTTCCACACAGGTAGGATTGTCTTATATTGACCAAAACTGGATATAATAAAACAATGTTCATATTAAAGTAATTTCTTATTTTTCTTACACTAAATAAAATTGCAATATTATTGCATGATTAATTAAGCATCATCCTAAGAAAGTACAAGTTTACTTCAGAACTCAAGTCGTAACATAACCTCAAACCCTGCATCACTTGAAAGTAAATACATACCTATAAGTCAGGATTTCTTAGATGTGTTACCCTGACTACTCTTGAGGTTCAGTGGAACTTATTCAGATATACACCTCTAACTCTGTCTTACAGACACTTTAATAATATTTCCCTTCCTTTGCAAAAACACTTAAAATGTTACAGAATAAACTTACTGGTCATAAATTAATTAGTTTGAATGCCTAATGAAAGATAAACTACTTTGGTCATATTTTTAATTTACAAAAATAATTTAAAACACTTGTAAACACCATGCAGACTTAACAACCAGAAATACAATTTTAAATGGACTTTCTAACACAGGGTATTTATTTTTTAAAGTAATTGAATGCTGGTGAACTTTACTTTCTGCTATGTAACTGTAAACAAAAATTGCTTCATTTTCTCTGCTTTATTTAATCTAAAGCAGTAAATTGAATAATAATAATGACAACACCCGTTTTCCAACACTGTATCTCCACTGCAGAAGTAAGTTTCACCGAAGATTTAAATGAGATTCATCCTCATTTTCTGACCTGTTTTCCTATTTGTTGCCATTTCTAGACAATTCTACTGGTAAACATCTGCTATTTTTTGCAGCCTTTGTAGAATACAAACAGATGTGAGCTTTTATTTAGCTTATATATCAGGAAGCAAGCAGCTGGGCTTTATTACATAAGCCACTCAATATTATCTTTGAACAGACAATTCTTTATTCTTTGACTATTAGAAAACGTAAGTTGCCAAAGCTACAGCAGATGTCTGAGCCACTAAATTCTCCACTGGGGAGCTGGCCGAGGAGCAGGGTGGGTGCTCAGGGTGCTCCACCAGCAAGATCTCCAACCCAGGGAGTTTTGCTCCCTGGCACCTCCAACCCTGAGTGTCGAACAGGAACCGCACTGCAGGGCCACAGCTCATATCACAACCATAAATTCACAACTTCTCTCCTTGTGTTTCACAAAACCCCTGCTTCAGTTTCCCAAAAGGTATTCAGAACTTGCTGTGATCTCACAGTGATTATAGCTTCCGTATTTATTCTCTAATCTTAACTGGGTTTTTTGGCTTTCCTTTTAATTCTGGTTATTGTTGTTGGATTAGGCGCACATCAGAGGGAGCACGGGTGAGCAGGTACTGAAATTGGTTATGTAAGTCCAAAAATATTTTAAAATTTTCTTATTTTAACAACATAGAAAATTCTTTTATAGGATGTAATAACCATTTGCTATCAATCTTGTCCTCCTCAGATGTTACTACCATATAAACAAACAGATAAACTGCATCTCTGTGTAATCAAACACAGGCATTGTTCCCTGCCCCTTCCTCCTATGTCTTTCAGTGGTTTCATCTTCTTTCTGGATGACTTACACATCTATTAAGACAGTTTTATTAGCCAATGTGTCATTAGTGGGGAATGGAAAGGAAAGCTATCACATATTATTTCTAGAACCGCTTGAATACCCTACATTATTGGGGAAAAAGAAGCAAGTAACTTCATGTGATCCCTGAAATGTAGGACTGCCATTTAGTTTGTTATGAAGCAATATCAATATTGAGGGAGTTGGGTTCAATATCAGACTTATATATACTTGTTCTTTATTTTTGGCACCCAACATGGCGCCAATAAATCTGTTGTGGCTTAGAGCTGGGCCAGCCAATAAAATGTGGACAGACACTCTCTAACCCCCTCTTCCCGCCCCAAAATGGGAAGGAAAAGAGAATGAGGCAGAGACTTAGAGGTTAGAAGAGAAAACTGAAATGAAACAATAATGGAAATAATAGTGAAATTATAAGAATAAAGAACTATATACAACTATATATAAGTCTGATATCAAACTCGAACCCCTCATGATATCAATCCCCACTGATGCTGCAGAGCAGGAGGCACTAGGGCAGCCCCAAGCTCAACGGTGGCGGGAGCTGGATATGGGAGCTGGATTTGGGAACTCTGGATCTGGATCAAAAGCAGGAGACTTGGATGCTGGCCATTGAGGAAAGAGGCCTAAACTCTTGTGATCACTCAATTTATCCCGAATATGATGTATATGGGATGGAATACTCTCGTTGGTCACCTGTCCTGTCTATTACCCCCTGGAGGTGCAAACTTTTACTTCCTTGTGACCCCTCTCACTACCTGGCACCCCCAGCGTGGCACACAGGAACAAGCAGTGACCTTGGGCACTGCAAGAATAAGTATCAGCAAGAGCCTGTCTGCATCCCCGTCCCAGGCAGTAACTGCAAAAATCAGGTGTTTCTACTAGCAGCACACACTGCACAATCAATCTGCCAACTTCAGAAAGTGCAGGCTCTTAGAAAAGACTGAGCTGGAAAGTAAAAATCACTGAACAGAATTGGTTTTGTTTAGCTCAAACCGGGACAGAGACACAGCTTCACAATTCCTGCAGAGCTTAGACCTCTGAGGGATTCATCTCTTACTGCTACAAGTTTCAGATGCCTCTGTAACAGGCAATGGGTCTTAAGCCAACCTCTTCGATCTGGGATGACTTAAGAGAGCTCAACGGAAGTAGCAGACGCTCAACATCACACCTCCTGAAGGCACCCCAAGCAGACTACGGTCCATCCTTAGATGATTAGTAGAGCGATGACATAAAATTATATACTTCCCACCTCAAGTCCTGCAAGCATAGACAACTGAGATACCAGTTTTATTCACCCCTTCCTTTACGCCTATACACATCAGTTCTGATCAGCAGTGATAAAACTGATTAGCTAATCCATACTCTTCTTGTGACAGATAGGTTTCCTCCATGGTGAACAGTTCCTGAGTCAGCAATAAACAGGATATAGCACCACGTGGACTACAGACAGTGAAATTCACATAATGATTTATCAGTTGGCAAAAAAACACTGCATTTCTTACTTTCTTATCAACCCAGGACATCAGGGCTCACATTCAAATAAAAGTGAAATGCTTATTTACTTGTCTTTGAGGGATGGGCGTCTTGACAGATTACTCATGTTAAGGTCTGAATCACTTGTCCAGTACAGATTTTTGTCACTGACTCACCTGCTCTTTATATTACATCTTTCTCTCATGCAAGAATTGCAGAAAATGCTTAACAAAACCACCCTAATTCTCTCACATGGCAGATGATAGAAGAAAGGGCAGGACTTTGATCTCAGTTATTACCGATAAAAAACTAATAATAATTTCACTTCATTATGAAATTAAGTGAAAATAAATCCTAACAATATATTTCTGTCTACGTCTGTATCTAACTAGGATGAAGAAAAAAGCCTCGATTAACTGTCATAATTCACTTTATCCTCTGAGTTTTTTTCACAGAATCATTAGGATTATATCTGAAGAGCCAATCTGTGACTTCAAAATGCAGGTGAAATGGCACCAGATATTGTAGAAATATACTGTTAAATGCTGAAGGTAACTATATTGACCATTTTTCTTTGTTACATCCTTAGCTCACAAATGTTAGAAAGGGGAACCAACTGAAAATAAAAACTGAAGAATCAGATTGAAAATTTCCAGGAGAATAACAGCTGTCTTTCATTTTTGTATGTCACACTTCCTGTAAGAAGGAGGGTTAAACTAGTGGTGTCTTTTTTACTGAGTTCTACTAAATACCTTGAAGTTGACACACAACATTTTATTAAGCAAATGACACAAACACTCCACAGTAATGATTTGTCTCATCTTTAAATGACTATGCTTTCCTACATCATTTCTACAGAGACATTTGCCTGCAATAATAGACATCTCAAACCAGTAAATTCCAATAATCTTTATGTAAAAATAATGCTGATCTTATGCTTCTAATTAGTCAGAGAGCTGGCAGACAGTAAAACACATTTTGTAAAGGGAGGTACAGTAAACTTAACCTCACACCTCATAAAAAGCTTTGTAGTCATCCCAGTGGTGGCTCTCAGCATCCTGTAAAATGCTTGTAGCACAAACTCTGACGCAGTAGTTCGTAACTTGAAACTGGAGAACGCTGATGAATTCCTGATATTGTTGGACAGTCAGTTGGAACAGGGGCCTGTTCAGAGAGTGATCAAAGAGGCAAAGACTGAAAGGCTATGCAGTAGGAGGTAACAATCCCCAGTACTGCAAATGGTCTTGGTTATTAGGTATCAATCATTCATTTCCTCTCGGTCCCTGAGTCTGAACCTAGCATTCACTTTTGAAAAATATCTGGTCTTCGTTTCATGACTTCTTTAAATATAGCTGCACTTCACCCTATTTTCTGACATAAAAATACATTTGTCATTCAGTTATTGGGAGGCTCTAAGTTGAAGCATAACTGCATCAGCATTGAGTGTGATAAAGAAAACACAGAGAGTCCAGAGTTTATTTCTGTAGGTATTTAAACTAAAATTCTTTCATAATACCCGAGTAGAATTGCTGAAGCAGGATTTTGGCTCAGCCTTGCCATTGACAAAGATGCACTTCATGCAGGAGGGAGTAAAACATCAGAGGGAAGGTAGCTTAACAACTCGTTACGAACCACACAGTCCCTGAAAATTGTGCTAGTAAAGGTGTCCTTCCCAAAAGGCCGAGCTTCTACTTGCAAATAATACATGTACAGAAACACATGGGCTAACAAAGAGATTCCTAGTAATTTAAGTCAAAACCTCCTGAAAGCAGAGCAAGTGTAGTTATATTGTCCGCCCAGCCAAATGCAGTCTTAGCCTTTACACTACTACTTTCCACCTTCTCTAATTTTTATTCTGCATGCAATGAAAAATATATTCTAAAGCTACATTGGATGTATTTGTTCACATTTCTGAATACAGACAATGTAAGTAAAAAGTGCAGGAGTGTATATTTATACTGTCCGCTATGTGCTAAATCAGATTTTATGAAAATTCATCTATTGCAAAGGTCAGAAAAGGAAATTAAGACCTTAGTGCTCTGTTCGTACGAGAGCAGAGTACATTCACTGGATTATTTACTCAAGCTTAATAAAGAAAAAATATTGATCTGCAAATCAAATGCAGATCTTGTATATAAATAATTTGGTTTGTAATGGCTCCTTTAGGTTACCAATAGCTTTGATTCAGGTCTTTCCATAAATAGTACATGCAGTGCATACACTAAAAAATATGATGCAATTTGGAAAACTACAACCATGCTGTATCACCAAAATGGAATGAAGTTCTGTATTATTTATGCCTGAATTAAATCATTATAAGTAAAAGGGACTCACTTTTTGCTCGTTTCTCTCATTAAATTGCTATACATTGTAAAATGCTGAAAGACGTATATGGCTGTGGAAAGGGCAGCATACAAGTCTTGCAGGGGAGCCTTGGAGGGAACGTCTTTGCTTTTCTCCTCCAGTCTTGCCAGGACAGCTGTTGCCACTTTGCTGCAGGCCTCTACAAAGTTTGCTCTAATTTCCTGAAGAGAATCATCTCTGCATGCCAGAGCCAATGGAAGCAATGTGTCAAGTTCTTCCATGATGTCAGAACAAAACTGAGAGAAATAAACGTGGCATCAGGTTATTCGTACTCTGACACCACTGTTTAATTTATACTCACTAGGGTCAGACTCTTGAATAATGAAATTGGTCTAAAACATAAAAATATTAAATCGGTTTCACCAACATTTCATTCTGTTACACAGTGGAGAAACATTTATCTACAGTAAATGAATTATTATTTCATTCCTTCTTGCTTTAAAACTGTGTAATATATATTGGGGAAAAAATAAAGACATCTTATGCTAGTAATGCCTTCATCTTATTTATGGTTTCATTAGATGTACATTCAAAACACAAGGCTAATTCCTGCTAAACAAAGATAATTTTCTAAACTAATTTATTTTGAAAAATATACAAACACATTTCTTAATTCTGAATTTGAAAACAAACTTGTCATCTCCTCATAAATTCATATATCAATCTTCCTAAAATAATCTCACCAAAGCTTATGTGTTATTTTAAGCAGAGTCATTTGTAGCATTTGAAATTTGCTAGAACAGTTGCAAAGCTTACTAAACAAAAAAAACCTTTCAAACATATATTTCCTTAGAAAAACTATTTAATTAATCACCATAAGTGACCTTTCAGCCAAATCAAAGAACTCTAATTTGGCCATATTATTGGTTATGCTAATTAGTTAAATGGCATGTCTAAGGATATGAATACAGGAAATCCCTTTATATCTATGCTTCAAAGCTTTCAGCATTTTCCCATCGAAACACTTGGTAACTGAGCAGATACTAAGCAGAATGTTTTAGAAGTTTTTGGATGAAAAAAATAACGCCAGCAAAGTTTGAAAGTTAATTCTTTCAAGCACAGACTATGGGCTATTGTATAAAGCTCTGTTCAGCCTCATATTGTAATGCCTCTCACTTTCTTCTTAATTCCATTTATATAAGATATAGAATATTAATGGTACTGTAAGTACTTCAAAGTGTAGACGCAAACAGCCTTGGCATTCTGTCTACCCTCAAACTTCAGATCTTTTGATACCTGCCTTAGCAATTCGTTTTGGTTGCTCCTCCTGTTGGACTGCTCTGCAGGACTCCTTCATTTGCTGGTTGTTTACAAGACTCATTGCGTAGCCTGCAGCTGAAAACTCTTCCTTCTGCTCATGTTGAAGAATTTTTGTTGAAAAATCCTCAATTGCTATTGTTATACAATGAGCCACAGAAGAAGACAGGTCTTTAAACGCGTTTCTCCAGCCAAAATTCAACAAAACAGGCTGAAATACATATTTATACTAAATCAACCCAAATTCATTAAAGTGTTGTTACTGTCTGAAAGTTATACAAACATCCATAATTAAATTAAAGGGCAATATCACCTTTTAAAATTAATTTTATTAACCTAAAATGTAGTCTGCTAGCCTTGAAATCACATTAAAAGTGGTATATACAATTAACAAAAATGAACATGCATAACAATATTAAATTTGTCAACAATTTTTAAAGAAATAATTAAGAATTAATAAACCAAAACTGTTTTTTAAAGTCATGCTCCTTCTTTACATTATTTATAATCTTTAATGGAATCTATATAACAAAGTCAAATACATTTACAACCATTTTCAACAGTTTAACAAGTAATCCAGGAATTGATACCCTTTAATAATTTTCGCCATGAGGTAAAACCTGGAAGCTACTAACCATGAATATCAATGGAAACATTTAGAGAACCTGGTTTTAACACAGCCACACTGCATTGCATTTCTCTAGAACTGAATTTAGCAAAGACTAAAGTGTTTAAATAGAGATTTCTAGTTTTCAGCCAAGGCTGGCCTTTGCTACAGTTTCACCAGCTCCCTGTCTTCCAAAACAGAGATTTCTAAAGTTATCATCTGAAGCATAACAGTTGAGAGAAGAAGACACGGCAGGATGTCACTACTTTTCCACTAATCTTGCTTTACATTGCTTGTATGACATACAGCAGATTTAAACCTCGCCAGAAGTGGCCAATTGAGAACTGCACCACTGCAAGAGAAATATTTTAATGACGTTAAGACGTAAAGATCCTCACCATGAGGGCAGAGTAGAAGAAAATAAGGATGCCTAACAAGTTGCAGCTATAACACTAAATTGGAAGGCAATGAAGGGCCCCAAAGCCCTTCCAGCTTACTCCAGTTTAGAAGTTGCCTCCTCGTTCTTTCCCTCTCCCCACCTCTAACACTTAACTCCAGTGAGCACAGAGAAAGCCCCCACTGACACCCATTTTTGCACTCCCTTTTTTTTCTTTTTTTTATCTTGAGTCAAGTAAAGCTCAATCTTCTCAAAATACTGTTCTTTGCAATCTACAAGATATAGAAACATTAGTTTTATAAACTGATTTAAAGCACATTTTAAAAAGTCATTTCAGCATTAAAATGGAGCCTTTAGGAAATGAAATTCCACTGTTGTGAAATATCAGGCTTCTTAAAAGCATTTAAGCCCCGCAAACTCAACAATAAAAATCTGTTTAAAAGTGAATGGAAGCCAGACTAAAACTTGTACATGTTCTACAAAGTGATGGTTAGTACATGGTAGTTTGTTGGTATCAAAGAAACTGGACATTGAATGAGTACTTATTGCTACAGAAGCTTCATTATGATCAAATACTAAGAACTTGATAGTTTTTTTTAAGGTTCTGCTGTATTCAAGAATATGTTTAATACTGAAGAAAGCTATCATATTTTAGCATTTTTTTAGTGTTTTGTTATAAGGCATCTTCTACTTCTGAAGTTAAATCCATTCTTTTATTAAATCTTAAACAACAATTTCTCTATGAGTGCCTTAAGAATTTATTTTATCTTAACTGAGACTTTGTACCTAAAATTAATTAATTATAGCAGCTAAATAATGAAACTATGGCAATAGGTGTTTATAATGAAGATGGTAACAGACTACGCTGGAGACACAGACAAAAGAAAATCCCCTACAAAGTGTAAGACTCTTTTCATACTTACCTCTTCTACCTGAAGTAACTGTTCAGGAAGCACACTGATTTCATTTGCTCTAGTTTCTCCTATTAAAAGCTCCCCACTAGCTCTCTTCAGAACTCCTGCACAGTGTGATAAAAGGGATCAAAGTTAAGATTAATTCTGTAGAAAAGTCAGCAGCCTACAACACCTTCTGATATATCAATACGAAGCATAAAAAAACCCTCAACAAGATGTAGGGGAATACTAATGTTATGATAAAGTCATGTTCAGGTTATACACAGCTCCTTTTATATAACACGATGAAATCCACATCCCATTGTATTCATATTTTATACAAACGCACACATAATGTGTAAAATATAGTTTCTTTTGTCATTAATTCATTTTTATACTGATTGTGCAGTCACCTATTCCTAGGGAGAAGAGATAATGTTAGAACAGGTGTGTGGAAATTAATTTCAATTCTTTGTTCAATAAATTATATGAATTGCACACTAATGTATTTTTATAGTTTTTACTTATTTGGAAATGCCAATATGATAAGAATAAAAAGACAGTTAATTAGTACAGTTATTATAAGCAAGATGGTGACAGGAACAAGAACAAGCGAAGCTCCTTATGAAGGGCTGGTACAAAACTTACTCATAAATCTCAGAGAAATGGAAATATTGCCCCTGTTTTGACAAGGACAAATCCATATCTGGGGTAGACATCACTTTCAACGGTGTTTCAAGCAAAGAGGTTTCACTCCAGGAGGTTCCTGGAGTGCACTGATAATAACTTCCTCCTCCAAGTGACAGAAGAGCCATTGAACAGAGGTGCTGTGCTGGACCTTGTTCTCATCAACAAGGAGGAGCTGGTGGGGAATTTGAAGGTCAAGAGCAGCCTTGGCTGCAGTGACTATGAGATGATCAGGATCCCAAGGGCAGGGAGGAGGGTGAAAAGCAAGCTCATAACCCAGGACTTCAGAAGAGCAAACTTTGGCTTCTTCAAAGTTCTGCTTGAAACAGTCTCATGGGATAAGGCCCTCAATGGAAATGGGGCCCAAGAAAGTTGATTGATATTCAAGGATGAGCTCCTCCAAGCTCCAGCAGGAGAAAAGATGCCAGGAGGCTTGCATGGATGAACAAGCTTCTCCTAGTCAAACTCAAACACAAAATGAAGAATACAGAGGGTGGAAGCAAGGATGGGTCACCTGGGAAGAACATCCAGGTATGAAGCTAGGAAAGCTAAAGCCCAAATGCAAGTAAATCTAGCCAAGGATGTCAAAGACAACAAGAAGGGCTTCTGCGAGTACACAGGAGACCAAGGAAGACTAGGGAAAATGTGGGCTCATTGCTCAGTGAGGTGGAGGACCTAGTTACACAGGACATGGAAAAGACTGAGGTATTGAATGCTTCCTTGCCTAAGTTCTCACTAGCAAAACCAGCCATCATGAATTCCAGGTCCCAGAGACCAGGGAAAAGGCTGAAGCAAGAAGGATGTACCCTTCGTGGAAGGGAATAAGGACAGGGAACACTCAAGCAAACTAGACATATGTAAGTCCATGGATCCTCAAGGGATGCATCCACAAGTGCTGAGTGAGCTGGCAGATCTCGTTGCAAGGCTACACTACAACCATTCATCAGTCATGGAAAATGGGGGAAGAGTCCAAAGACTGCAGGAAAGCAGCTGTCACTCTTGTCTTCAAGAAAAGCAAGAATGAGGACTCAGGGAATCACAGCCCAGTCAACTTCACCTCAATCCCTGGGAAGGTGATGGAGCAGCTAATCCTTGAAACCATTTCCAGGCACATTAAAAGACAAAAAATTCACAAGGAGTACTCAGCAGGGCTTCACCAAGGGGAAGTCATGCTGAACCAACTTGATAAACTTCTATGAATAAATGACTGCCTCGGAAGATGGGGGGAGGGTAGTGGATGTTGTCTATCTTGACTTCAGCAAGGCCTTTGACATTGTTTCCCATATGTTATGGGACAAGCTGTAGGCAAGCTCTTGATAGACGTGCTGGGTAAACAGATATTAAGTTGGGTTGAAAAATGGTTCAATAACCAGGCACACAGTGTGGTGATCAGTGGCACAAAGTCTAGTTGAAGGCCTAGTTACTATCAGTTACTCCTAGTGACCTATTTCAGGGGTCACTACTAGATCCAGTCACGTTTAGCAATGTTCATTAATCACCTGGATGATAACGCAGAATGTATCCTCAGCAAGTTTGCAGCTGACACCAGACAAGGAGGAGTGGCTGATACGCCAGCGGGTCATGCTGCCATCCAGAGGGACCTCAACAGGCACACAAGCCTCCTTAAGTTCAACAAGGAGAAGTGCAAAGTTCTGCACCTGGGGAGAAAAAAGCTTCAGACACCAATATATGCTGGGGCCCATCCAGCTTAAAATCATTTTTGCATAAGAGAACCTTGGGGTCCGTGTGGACACAAAGTTGAACATGGGCCATCAACATGTCCTTGCTGCAAAGGAGGTGAGTGGCATCCTGGCCTGCAGCAGGGAAAGCATCGACAGCAGGTCAAGGGAGGTGATCCTTCCCCTCTACTCAGCAGTGGTGAGGTCACACCTGGACTGTTACGTCCACTTCTGGACTACTTAGCACAAGAGAGACACTGACATACTGGAGAGTGTCTAACAAAGGGCCATGATGAGGCTGAAGGGACTGAAGCATCTCTCCTATGAGGAAAGGCTGAAAGAGCTGGGACTGCTTAGCCTATAGAAGAGAAGGCTCTAGGTGAGGGGATCTCATTAATATATGAAGGGAGGACAGAGCCAGGCTTATCTCAGTGGTGCCCAGTGACAGAAGAAGAGGCAGAAGAAGAGTTAATGCTCTTTTTCACTGCAAGGGTGACCGAGCACTGGCACAGGTTGCACAGGGAAGTCATGGAGTCTCCATCCTTGGAGATACTCAAAAGCCATCCGGACATGATGCTGGACAACTGGCTGTACATGGACCTGCTTGAGGAGGGGTTGTTGGAACAGATGACTCCCAAAGGTCCCTTCCAACCCCAACCATTGTGCAATTCTGTCAGTCCATTATTCAAAAGGAATGTGAGAATAAAACTGAACAACATGGTATTTTTAAAATCCATCTTCTTACATAAAGCTGGTAAACAACACTGGTGCAGATATTTCTAATTTACTGTATCCCATGTAAAATTAAACCCAAGAAGTTGTAATAACTGTATGCTAGCTCTTAGGTCATCTGAAGATATTGCTAGTAAACACAGCTAAGGTTTACAGAGATTTTCTCTTTATATCTAGTGTGTGCATACACATAGGATTTCATTTGCCCAAAGTGGATTTTATCTTTCTCCTAAACAATTCACTCTCTGAAGATGAACACTGCACTTTTCATACACCTATACAGCATTCTGAAGCTTCAAGGTTTTTGTGGTTTTTTTCCTGAAAACATTCGGGAACAACAGATTTAAGCTGGTAAAAACGAAAAATAAAATGGAAGAATGTAAAAGCAGAAGAGAATAACCAGGCCAGCTCCCTGATTATTCAACATATGTTACAGACAGCAGTAAAAACTTACTGCTTTTTCTCAGTATGTCTTCATTTATTTCATGATGAAGTTTCCTACAGATTTTTTCAGAAAATACTTCAGAATGAAGAAAAAAAGCCCTAACACTTTACTTGATATTTCCCTTCCTTTCTGTTCTGTGCTTTCTACCTCAAATTTGCCTTGTTTTTCCTTGAAATTCTTCTGATATCTGATCTAACTATGAGGACAACTTACTATCTACATATTTACAGTCCTAGATCATAGAATGGACTAGGCTGGAAGGGACCTTAGAGATCATTTAATCCAATCTCCCTGCCATGGGCAGGGACGCCTCTCAACTAGATCAGGCAACACATGGGGACCGAACAGGGACAATTATTGTCACTATTTAGATGAGCTATTTATATTTTTTAATATCAAGACTTCAAAGATTTTCTTAACATTTAAGCTGAAATCCTTGTATATTCAAGGAATTGCAGCGTTATTTGTTAAGAACTCACAGCTGAGAGAAGTAGGCATCTATCTCATGGTAGATCTGTGTTTTCAGGACCAGAGGCAAAGAGCCATGTGATGTGTCTGCCACCATCAGTAATTTTAAAGGTTCTTTCATTTTTAAATCAACAGGTTCTACTAGATCTCCCCACCTCCTTTTCCAACTAACTCTGTGCACTCTTGCTCTGTATTCCTATATCTATTCCTACATCTACGTGCATGCAGGCTCACACACATATTAAGCCTTCTCTGGTCTTCCCAAAGAAGACCCAAAGGTCAAGCCTCCTATCTTTTACTGAGTTCCTTTGGTTTCCCAAATTTTTGCTTTTACCAAACCTCATCTAGGTAAAGTTGGCCTTAATCTTCTTCAATTTAACCTCCAGCTAGCAAGTGCCCCCTTCACACTTCTTGATCACTGCATGCTAGCCACAGCCCTGCCAAAGCCTCTGCACTTCAGATGCTAATACAACCTTCCTCTCAAGCATTGTTTCCACGGGGACATATATCAAATTATCCCTGTCCTGCTACCTCTTCACTTGTCTTCTGACTGTCTTGCCCTAATCAGCAAACTCCCCTGGGAAATAAAAGTGCAGCTTTATTCAAGAGACTGGTATAGCTGCTGGAGTGAAGCTACTCAGCCCAAATTAGTTTGCCGTTGCAGACAAGAAGGCAGGCAAGTGGACGGAGGAAGCATCCTTACCTAGACAGCCAGCTTTCCACAAAAACTCTTTGACTCCTCTCTACTCCCAAATTCCAAACCTCAGACACCATTTGCATAGACAGACAGAAATGCAGCACTCCTTCTGATGCAGCTGCCTAGAGAATTTGCAGGAAGAGAGCTGAAAAAAAAGTGAATTTCCTGAAAGAAGATGATGGAGGCTGAAGGAATACTTCTCAGTTTTTCACATATGATCCCTTTCCAGAGCATATGCTATAACTCCTCTGTTCTTGAATACTAGGGAACACTGGATTAATCACAAATTCTTGCTATAGCTTTTTTGAAACTTACATACTACCACCTTAACAAATTGTTCATACTTTGAGTACTTGCTTCAGTTTACCATCCAGGCAGCTCAAATCATTTTGATAGTGAATATTCAAACCAAGATTATATCAAGTGCTCCACTTAAAACTGAAACTCTTCAGCCAACTTTCCTCACATGTATTAAAATTTTCTCTGGGGTTATTCTTCTCTTTAAAGCAAACCTTTTTGCCTATGTTCCCTTTGTCTTCAACGTATTTCATTGTTTCTCCAATTTAGTATTTTTCTGGTTTTGTAATGATGATGACAGTGAGACCTCTCGCATTGTTAATGTTTCCTTTTCTTCCTTAAACTAAGTTCTATTATATTATTTCTTTTTTCCTACAGAGTTCCACAGCTTTCCTATGTTCTTCATAGCATTCAGGGTCATAAGCGCATTGTGACATCATTTGCACTCAAATACATCCGCAAAGCATCAAGGAAACCTTCTGTATGACAGCTCACTAACTGAGTAACAGGTGAGTAACAGATGAGTAACAGTACCACCAAAGTAGCTTACTAGCTAGATTCAGACAGCTTAGCCAAAACTTTTATTCAAACCGTGCTGGAAATAATATGTCTTGCAGAAATGGCAGATACCACTCCCCCACAAATATAAATAAGCATGAGAAACAAAATATTAGACTAGTCGTAGATGAAAAAACCTCCTGTGTTCTACCTTCTATAATGGACTTTTTATTTGTTGTATTATAGTGAGCAAACTAATAACACAAATAAATAAAACATACATCTGAAATCAAACTAGTGTAAATTCCATTTTCACTTTGGATTACCTGCCAAAGCTATATATTCCTTAAAGAAGCTACTTCAACATTTTGCTTTGAGATCAAGGCAAAAATCACAGCTTTCTTTCTTGAATCTTTAAAACTTCATTAAGAGGATGCACCTCATGAATTTGATTCGATGCTCCTTTCATTATACTTTCTAGAAACGGTTACAAAGGATCTCCTCTTAGGCTGTGAACGAAAAGACCTTTGCAAATCTTCCCAGTCCCCTGAGGCAAAGCTTGTAAACCTAAGGGCTTGACAACTTTGCCCACAGTGTTTTCAAAGAGCTCGACTGGAGAAAGCTTTTCTTGGTACTCATTATCTGATCTGTCCAAAGTTCACCTTTCTCAATGGAATGAGAAAAAAAGTGAGAGACAGATGAAAGTATGTTAGATGTGTCTGATTTTTCAGAAGTCTCAAGAAGAGGTTTCTGAAAAGCCAGAGAGAAGAGAAATCTACCTTAAAGATGGGAAGAGAATGCAATTTGGCAAGATTCTAAACCAAAATCTCCTGCTTAACCCTTGACTGCAGCTGAATGTTCCAGATTCCTTCAAAGAGAACGACTCCTGTGATACTGCATGTACTAGGTATGTCAGGACATCTCAGCAATTCCAACTGAATGTAACTAGAGAATTAGACTATCTTATCACAGTAGGCATGACAAGATACCTAAAGAAGAAAGGGTTAAATGTGTAGTCAAGAAGAAATGAAAGGTGGTTGCTTCTTCCATTTTCTGAAACCTTTGTAGTGGAACTAAGTGAGGTTATGCAACACTAAAAATAAATGTTCTGCAAATGCAAGAAAAATACTGATACCTCTCCTCAGGAAGGCAGACTAGCAGTCTTGTCCAGATGCCAAAGTTCAGGGATGGAACAAAATCACCACATCATCACTTATTTGTCTGAGAACTTTTCACGATGTTCTCGTTTTACTTAAGTAAAAACTTGAATGTTGTACTGGTAGAAGATAAAATGTTTTTCTTCATTGTACTTAGCTAAGACAAATATAATTGGAAATCAAGCACAAAACTTGGCATGTACGTTCTTCTCATTGAGGAACACACATTAAATTAGGTCTGGTAATGGAAAGGAAAAAAAATGAAATCAGGAAGAATAGGATGGAGAATAGCGAAAAGAAGTTAAGAGTGGAAAATGGAATTCATAAAATTTTTTCCAATCTGCGCAAACACTTTGGGGAAATGATGATTCTGAATATATTCCAGAAGATGCCGGATACAAAACTCTCAAATTGAACTCAGAGAACTATCCGCATCACCTAAAAAAACTCTCTACATCCATCTCCCTACAGAGTTCACTCTGGTTCACTGTTTCCTTTGGTGCTATTGTCTGCCATGGGGTTACCATCAGAGAACACTGGTAGGCAGTACTTCCCTCTAACATCTATTTTCAACCGCCTAAATTGGTCTTCATAGGATTCCATTGTGCACACTGCAAAGAAACTTGTCTTGTTGCCAGCTAGAACTGTGAACTACATGTCTTTCTTTTCTTCACTGTTCTTTTTTTGGTTCACAAGCAACCTCCTACCAAAAGCAGAATCCGCAGAAGAGACTACATCCAAGCGATAATGCAATGAAAAAGTATGAAGAGAAGCCCAGGTGGCCACCTTGCAAATTTCCAATGTGGAAGCCTTCGACCTCTCCGCCCAAGAAGCAGCTATAGTCCTAGTGTAATGAGCTTTACAAACCCTGGGAGCCTCTTTACCCTTAACTACATACGCCTCCCTAATACAATCCCTTAACCATCTAGCTAAGGAACTCTTAGAAGCCATTTGACCCCTCTTAAGACCCCCTAAGAGTACAAACAATCTGTCAGAAGATATGAAATCTTTGATTCTTCTGTGATAAACCCTAAGTGTTCTTCTTACATCCAATTTATGCAGCCATTGCTCTTTGTCATCGCTGGGTTTAGGGAAAAATGAGGGCCAAGAAACCGTCTGGTTTAGATAAAACTCAGATGCCATCTTTGGGACAAAAAAAAATGTAAAAAGAGGAACCATCCAAAGAACTACTTTGTTTCTGATGGAACTTGTTCTATATATCAAGACTGAAGTACTACGGGATATGCTGAACAAAAATCAACTAAAGCTGCCATTGAAACAGCTATACACATAAACGCAACACCTGACACAAGCACATGAAAAAACATTATTTTTGTTGCATCTCTGCATGAGTTACATAAATGAAAAGGCTCCTGTGAATACTAAAAGCATCCAAAAAGAAAAGGAAGCAAGTGCGAGGTTCCAATCTATGTGATGCCTCGGGAAACTTTAGCTCACTTGGATATTAGCCTACCTTTTACGAATTGGCCACTTTTCCTTATTTTACCAGCAGTTACTACTTGCAGAGGACTGACTCTTCAGATACGTCTACACCGCAGTGCCTGCAGGGTAGTTTGGATACACCCAACCTGGCTTTAAACCAGTGAGAAATAGTACGAGTAACTGTCTAGCAACAGCAGCGTGGTTCAACCTGGGCTAATTCACTGGTTTTGCAGGCTGTGCTGGGTTGTAAAACTGATACTGGTACCTGAGTTAATTTAAAGCAGCTTTGGACAGATCTGCACTCTAGACTATGTCAAATTAAGTGTTGTTTTTTTTTCTAGCAAGATGTAAGTACACTTCTACAGAAGTACAGAAGATGGCCATTATATTTTCCAGTCACATAGTATTTGTTCTCATTAAAATACAGTATTCTAATCAATCCTTCTTATCAAAACTCAGCCTTCATCAGTGAAAAAAAAATTAGCCCAATATAGGACATTAACAGGGAAAATCTTAAATCCCTTTTGGTACTTAACAGAACATGGAACTACTGGGAACATAGCTCTCATTCTCCCATATCAAATCATCTTTTATTTTATCACTGCAACTGAGATTTCTGACAATATGAAGTGAAAATAATACCAATAAACCCTTCTTCTAGTAATTTTTTTTTTCATTCCTCTGGCCATGTCTTTTCTTCACATATTATCCAGAAACTGATATATCATTGAATAAAGTTTTGTGGATAAAATCACCTGATCAGAACAGCAACACTAAAATCCAAAGGTACATCTGATGACTTCACCAACTTCGCCTAAAAGATTTACCTTCCCCTGTGTTTCAGGGCAAAAGTAAGTTTATGTTTTCTTCAGAAGAGGCCTTCTACCCAGAAGACTGTCTCCTACAAAAAAAAAAATCTAGTAATATTTCCCATTCAGACTTGATTAAGTGGAGTTACCATTTATGAACCAACCTCCTATAGATATGAGTACTCTAAAAGAATATTTCTCAATGAAGAAGGCTTAACACACTTTTGAGGAATAGTTCTGAATGTAATTAAGCTTGGAGAAATGCCTGCAGGATAAAGTCCTAAACAGACTTCCTGGAAAGAAAAATATTTTTTGTTAATGTTGAAATCATTAAGTTCTCTGAATTATTTGAGATCACATGTCTTAGAGTGTAATTAGTCAAATATGTCAAATAAATTTCACATTCAAGATTTCTTCAATTTTTCTTTTACTTTATCACATAATATACAAATTGAAATTATCCTTAGTGAGTTTATACCCTATCCTCCATATTACTCTATGAGAAATGTACTGTAACACCTCTTTGGGGGCTGGTTAGCTCAGTCGGTTAGAGCGTGGTGCTCATAACACCAAGGTCAATGGTTCGATCCCGGTTCAGTCCCCATGTGTTGCCTGATCTAGTTGAGAGGCGTCCCTGCCCATGACAGGGAGGTTGGATTAAATGATCTCTAAGGTCCCTTCCAGCCTAGGCCATTCTAGGATTCTATGATTCTAAGATTTTGTGGGGTCAAGGCCATCAAATGTAAAACACAGTGTATAATAGCTTGACATTTCTTAAGATTTAGTAAAACAGAGAGATTAAAGGAGGCAGAAATACGATGACACCAACAGTAAAAATGAAACTTGAATGCAGATTTTATTTGAGCTCTGATGTACATTCTAAAACCACATAGGTTAACCTCTATTTCTTTATTTCAGAGTGTCAATATTTTAGATGAACAGTCCATTAACAAAATGTGTGCATCAGAACTCTTCCTATATAATCTTAGCTTTTTATTTTTAATCAATTTTGTATTCTAAGACCACATTCCCAAAACACCTTTCTTCTCAGCCTGCAGCTCGGCTACAGAGATATCAAATATTGGACTCCACCTACCCTCTGTCCCTAAGCAGCCTGGCCTCATTTCTGGTGTGATCCTTTCCTGCAATATAATCGAAGCTCTTGAAACCACTTGCTCTCTGGTGACCTGGAGTCTCTCTACTGGCAGAAGCAGCAGAACATTTACGAGCATACTGTGCCCTGGAAGGTGTTATTCACCTGAATTTTTAGGGTTTCAGGTTGTCCTCTTATGACATGAATGCAATTAGATGGAAAAGAGAGTGAGCTTGCAATCTAAAAGCAAATGCAAACATGATCCTTGGCTGTGAAGCAGTTTACGTTCAGATGAAAAGTCTACTTCTATAAAAAAAACACTGAAGCCAGTAGGATATGCATGATAGTAAACATATGACATATTAATAAGTGTTGGTGGAAGTTATAGATTAAAAAAGGACTATATACTAAAACATTTAGTTGTATGTATACTACAATGATTTAAAATGATGTTCAAGTCAGTGTTTTTCTCTCCTAAAAAAGGCAGCTTTCAAGGACAACTTCAGGATCAGTCAAAGTTTCAAAGAATTCAGACTCCTGATATTGTTTTGCCATACATGAAATACAGGACTTCATAATTCAACAGGAGATACTACATTACAGTGTTCGATAGTTATTAGCTAGGATTCTCCATCAATAACTACTATACATTACATCTTTATGCACAAATACCAGTTCTCTTCCACAAGTCATTGTGCTCAAATGCAAATCTGCATATTTCATAAAAGATTTTCAGTGGATATGGTAATACATATGTTTATAAAATATGATGACATGAATTAGGTAATTAATGTTGAAAATCCTCTATATTATCCTTTTGCACAAAGCAGAATCAATAAATAAGGAAAAGCATTCATTACCTTGAACATTCTTACTCCTCTCCGTAAATGAGGGCACCAATAGAATTTCTGCAGACAGCTCTTCGATTTTTTCTTCCAGTAATAAAAAGAGTTTGATAAGTTGAGAAAGACATTTGAGTTGATACAACGTTAAGCAGAAGTTTCTTCCTTTTTTATGGTATTCTTGGGAGGCTGTTCAAGTAAAATCATAAAATACCATTTACTATAGCTTAAAAAAATGATTTTGCAAAACTGACTATGTAAGAAAGCATAATATATCAAATATTTTAAACTTTGTCAGAGCATAATGTATATTTTTCTTATTATAAAATACTCTTACATTAGTTTATCCTAAGTCTTTGGTATTTCTCAGCTATCTGGGAAGTTACAACTGAATTTCAGATATTTTGTTATTCCTTAACCAGGATTTTTGCCAAGCAACAGATCTACTCAGAAACCTTCTCACCTGTGTTTTACAGACAAAACTCTGTTGCAAAAACTGATTGAACAAAAGGGAAAAACCCACGTCATTACTGTATTTTAATGGTTTGGGACATCACATCACTACACTGTCACTCTGCAAGTCACCTTGTCTGTTTAACAATCTGCTAGCACAATACAGTTGATGAATATGACATTTGAGTGAAAAGAAACATCAATCTAACACTCCACAACTTTAAATATGTGGGGTTTGAAAACAAGTGAGACTGTCAGTGAACAAATATCAGCAAGTATTATACCTGTAAGCATTTGGTATTTAAAAGAAGAAAAAGAACATTTTATTTTGAAAGGTTAACACTTGTAATCATAACATATAATCATGTCACATCAACCAGGGAACTCTGATGTGAGCATGGATTTGAGTCAGATTATAAAAGACTGTGAGCTGTTTCCAATTCAGTATTACCAAACCACATGGCTTTAAGTACTTTAATTTTATAACATCTTTAAATGTAACAAATTTCCAATTCTATGTAAACTGCGGTGAGCTGATACCATGTTCCTATGCAGTTCTGTTGCAGATGTAACATCAGCAGAACAGTTTATGTAGAAAGTGTCAGAGTGAGAGCCAGAGTAGTTTGAAAGGGAAGCTCTGAAGACGAAAACAAATAGAAATTGATTGAAATGTACTTTTATGTGTCAAATCTCTCTTACCTATGCAATTTTGAAGTACTCAGTACCTCCCTTTTTCCTCAAAGTTCCTAGATATTTTTTTTAGGTACTCACAAATCACTTTTAAATAGACATAGATCTAAGTAGCAGATCTGAGCTCTGAATACAAATTCCCTAATTTGCTATTCCAGTTTAGCAGCCTTAGAGATTGAACTGCTAGTTTTGCATTCACATCTGAATTTCCTCAAAATTCCAAACAGATGTATTCTTGCTAGTCCCTTGCATTTCTAAGAAAGGCAAAAGAAAGTCTTATGAATAATTGCTTCTGTTAGTGCCTCTCCTCTCTGAATAAAAAGTAAATAATATCTGTATCACTGGATTTCCAATTTTAAGTCTTAAACTTAAAAAAGAAAGACATTCCGCTATTCAGAGAATTTTTCTTCTTTACCTGAAAATTAGATAATATAAACGGAGTTTAACTGACATAAAATGACTGCCCAAGTCTGCTGACAGCCAGAAATAACATATCCAAGATGTAAGAACCACAAATCACATCATAAAAATCAATGGAATGTCAGTTCTGTCTCCTATAATTTGAAACCTTTGTGATGCTCCTGCTCCCTCTCTTGCGGAACAAAGAAACCTTCTAATTGTTTGATTGCCCCAAGTGACATTGTTCTCATTAGACTGAAAGCCAAAGTTATGATACAGTAATTTTAATTTTAGAATATATTATCAAACTCAGAAAAAAGTAAGAACTTTAATTTTTACTTTCCATGACCATTCAAAGTATATTTCAGCTGGAAGCTCAAGATACTGAGTTCAAAGATCCCTCTTTTTTCATGCTGTTAAGAAGCTGAGAGAATGCTTTAATGTAGGACAAAGCACATTACAGTATATGTAAATAAACACTTACATAACCATCAGAGCAAAGGCTCACTATTTAATACTACATAAGTTCTACCAACATCTAGAAAAGCCCTTCAGATTTCTAGGTTGCAAAGTACAGACAAACTTCTAGACACCTGAAGGTAGTGAAGAATACGCATTTAATTTCGTGGCTGACAAAACTTTGGTACAAAATTAAGAAAAACATGGAGGTAAGCATAGAGGAAATTCTGTCTCTGATAAAAAGGCACGAACATAGGCGCTGCCATCTGATAAGCAGTCAACCCTCACAAATGAGAGGAAAGGAGATGAAACAACAATGTTAAGTGCACTCCTGAAGGCCTCAAGCATGAAGTTGAAATTGCTTGAATCAGTTCTCAAATTCATCAGAAACCTGCAAGCAGTGAGAACTTGGTGATCCAATTCAACATAAAGTGATGTGCAAACCTCTGTGGGATGGTCAAGATAAAGGCATTAGAAAACAGAAAGGAAAATCGGGCCACCATGTAACAAATAATATTCTCCCAGAAGAGAGGAAGAAGGCTAAACAATCATCTTGCACTATAGACATCAGGCGGAGAATTTTTAAGATGGGAGGCAAGGCAAAAGCCAGATCCCAAGACTCTGGAAGAAGAAAAATGGACGAACCAACCAACCAACCAAATACATATATCGATCGAATTTATGGACAGCTCCATATACTACAGGGTAACTCATTCTTAAATTTCTTTTTGTCCCCTGTTACGTTTTGGTATGATAAAGAAAATGTAATGCAACTTACATTTAATGTGTAAGTATACCAAATATCTGGAGGTGATAAAGATCCCTGCATTGTCTACAAAAGCTTTTTGTCACAACACTATAGATGGGTAAAGGCATGTGCTCTCACACTAGCAATCAGCACAAATCATGCCAATGTATCATTTAAACAGGCTGTGGCCCAAAATTGATGGTAATAATGCAGTGCGTGTTTGAAAGGTCCAGTAACACCTCTCAGTTGCTGGCCCACACAGCTCATGTAAAGTTACGTGTTATTCTGCGCAGCTCACAGGTTTTGAGGCTCTCGACTCAGGGCAGCAATTTTTGAACAACTCACCTGTACTATCCAAAGCTATCACTGCAAGGCACTGTTGCATCTCATTTTACTCACACAAAAACTGTGGGTCTTACTATAGTTTGCAGGCTCTACAGCTGCTGAAGCACAAGCTATGCAGAAACACAGACACAGACTAATTCTCATTTAAGACTGCTGCTATTTCTCATGGGCTTATATCACAAGAGCACATTACTGGACAGTCTAACTTTAGGAAGAAGTTAGCTTGAACCTCAACTCAGCTTGGTTCATCCGCAGCAGCTTGAAAGAGCTGGATGGGAGGAACCACCAAAAGTGGATGTCCTTTCACAGAGTATCTTCCATGTCCACGGTTTTATTGCCTCACCGAAATTACAACTCATTTATTTACTGCCTAAGGACCAAATAGTATGCACGCACCTGAGTACTCAAAGCTTGATTGGAAGACCTTATATACATCACAGACATCTGACTGTTTCAAAATACTGACTTCAACCTTGAAGACCACTGACCAGGCTGATGAATAAGCATATCACAGCCCATTTTTTAGCAGAGGGGAATGAAAAAGTATGTCTCTTCAGACACTGAGCTGATTGAACAACCACAGGACAGAAACATGCAAGAACTCTCTAACAGCCAACAGTTAATCAGCCAAAACGATGGCATACAGAAAATGTGCAAACAGGTTTGTAAGTCTTGTAGAAGATTGCCATGAAGAGTAGAGGCCTCCATGTGGACAGATGATACACTGTGATACATGTTCAACCAAATCTTGGTGTTATGAACTTGTCTGGAGGTTCATGATGCAGACTGGTGTACAATTAATATGAAAAAAATAGTGAATGAATCATGACTTATGATGCTAGGCCAGAGAACTAACATAACTCATTTACCCAGCAAGATGTAAAGCTGCTGAGGGCACCCTACACAATCACAGAAGACCCTGCACAGAGTGACTTGAAGCACATGAAGGTGATCTCAGCCACCCACAAATTTGTTAGCAATCGCATTTCAGTCTAACTTCAGAGTGGAAGGAAGCATGTCACAAGTTACACAATACAAACAAACTTCCTGAATCAACTGCAGTTTGCTGCTATCAGTCTTCTAAACTTCCTTTTTCTGCATTCATATGGTCTTCGCACAAGGAAATAGCTGCACCAGAAACTTCAGCTGCAGGCATACATCAACAGCACCTCTGCGGTGTCTCCTAACAACAGAGCATGGTGATGTCTGTTAAAGCACTACCATGTGAGAAGAACTTCTGAAAAGGGACAGAGAGGCCGGTAGAGACACCACAGGGAGCCAAAGTGGATCATACAGCCATTGTCAATGTTCTAATGAGCCAATTTTGCAAATATTGCTCTAAATAGAGGTGAGGTCAGGACCTAAATAAACACAGAGGAGTAAGAAAAGGTTCTGAGCATCTGAACATAGCCTCAGGCTTCCTCCTGTGCAGAAAAAGAAGCAGAAAAATAGTGCTGGACAAAACTACTCCCTATACTGATGATTTCTGAACTGCTCTGGAGGCTGTATCTGCCAGCAGAAAAATCCTAAGCCAGTACTATGAACTATCTTTAGCCCAACAAAAAAAGATCCAAACCAAGTACAATGTCAGGGACCACCAAAGGCTGGCTGCTCCCTGAGGGACAGAGCATGATGATATGGCCATCAGGACAGGTTCCTCAGCAGCTAGGGACCTGTGCTGCACTCCCTAAGCAAGGTAAGCAAGTCAGACCCAGAAACGACAGTCAGGTTTCAAACAACAGTCCAGATCATCAGCCAAGTTGATAATGATGATGCAAATCTGAAGTTAAGCCAGGAAGTTAATTCACAGCTTGGAGTCGGGATCAGGTCTGGTGATGGGAGCCAAGAGTCAGGCACAGTTCAGCAATAATTAGGTAGGTCCATGGTCATAAAGCAGACTCAAGCTCAAGCCAGAAAATCTGAATCGATGTGGTCCATGACCAGCCACAGGTCTCTTGGACATCAGGAGACCTGTGATGTACTTCAGGTGAGAACCGAAGACCAAGATTCCATCTGAAATGAGTCTTTGGGCAGGCTGTGGTAGAGACAACAGAAGAGGATGGTGAGAGACATTAAGGCCCAGTGTACTCAGGGC